TCGGTTTCTGGAAAATTCGGGAGAGGAGGATATCGCACTCGCTCGTGCGAGATTATTTATATTCCGATAGGATGGAAACCGATAAAACTGTCGAATAGCCAGCACACGTGATGAAATATGAAAATATTGCTCGTTTTTCATAACTCGAAGAGGCTGCATTCGTATATACGATGATTTCGTTATATATATATATATAGGTATAAATTTGGCAATGGATCCACTACGATAGTGAAAAAAATCTTAATAAAATAGATGCATAATGCATAGCTATAATGGAAAGGATCGATCGAGTGGAGCAAGATAAAGGCGATGAAAATTTCGAGAGTGATAAATTGATACCGTGAGATGTCAAGGTAACGTAAACATTCTTTTCAAAGCGTTTACTCGTGCAACATACTGATTTGGTCGTTTAAGGACACCTTGTATATATATATATATGGTTTCACGTCAAAACGAAGGACAAAAAGTTGATCCATAAAAATTTCGAAGTAAGACTCGAAGAAGATAGAATAAGAGAGAAGCGTGCGAAAAGAAAGTTTTGTGCATCGACTTTTGCGTTCGTATAAAATCGATAAATGTCGTGTAAAATATATTGATATCGTGTATAAGCAAATGTTGAGAATTTAAGGGATAAAAAGTTTGTTAAAACTTATCCTTTTAGGGGGGAGGAATTTAATTTTCCATCGGCGAAATATATCGATCGATCATTGTGAATATATATATATATATATATATTTATATCTATGTGTTTGCATTTATTACATGTTGTTTGAAAATAATCGACAAATTACTTACATTGTAATAATATAATATCGGATAAGATAATATCGGAAAAAGAAAAAGAAACGCGAGGAAAAATGGAAAGAATCAAATAACATTATGTTTACACGACAATCTTTATCTCATATACATAAGATAAAGTATTAAAAATAATTTTTAATTACTATTTCGCGAAATGTATCATTATTTTATAATGTAACATTGATCTCGAGAAAATTATCACGAATAATAGCTCAAACAAGGAACGGCAAGCAAATTTATCCAAAGCAAATACGCGTATCGCGATATTTATATACATTTTCAAGAATGAAAGAATCTTTCATTTCCCTATGGTATTCCATAAAAATTTCAATTACACCGCACAAATATCGAATCCAGTCGTGGCGATATATAACTACAGATATTAAGTTCATTTTATTATACACGATAGATGTGTTACAATATATACATATATATATATCTCTTTCCATTTCGATTATGCGAATCATTTCCTGCCCCGTACAGGAAGAGACGAGGAAGTAATTTGAAATTTTCGATTGATGAATAATATGTGTGGATAACACGCGTGTATCGTGCGAACATTCACGATGAGATAGATCGCGACGATATCGATAAATGTCCCTCCGAATAATAAAACTGATGACAGATATTCCGAATCGATGATTCTCGGGGAAATGAATGATGAATCTCTGCGCGGGGATCGACGACTGATCGTACGAATTTTCCACGATAATTTATAACTGACCGTATAATAATGTATAATAATTATAATCAAGTTTCGTGGAAGTGGAACACTCGAATCGATTCAACCGATGGGTTATTACGATGGGAATATACCTGTCCTTCTCCTTGATACGTATCAGATATCAACCTGTGATACGATCCACGATATACACTTGTGATTATTAGAGTTTGTTATTTAGTGCCACTCTTCGCTAGTTTCTTCACTTTTATCGGATTTTAATATATCGTCGACTTTTCCTATTGATTGGGAATTATTGTACTGAATATTGCGATAAATATTTTGATATTTATTATATTATTGCAATAAAGATTTATTTACCAAATTTAGTCAGCTATTGAAATAAATATTTTAATCGATGGTTGGCAACAAAATATTACTACTGCATAATATACGCTTTGATATATTTTTCTATCCTTTAGAAATTTTTGTTACTAAATTTAGTCAGCTGCTGAACATTGAAATAAATATTTTAATCGACTGGTTGGTAACAAAATATCACTATATAATGTATACGCTTTCGTATATTTTTTATCGTTTCAAGATTAATCGGCTAATAAATATTTTAATCGATTAATAATTGGTAAGAAAACATTATTATATAATATACGCTTTGGTATATTTCTATCATTTGAAGATTTTACTAAATTTAATTAGCTAATTGAAATAAATATTTTAATCGATGGTTGGTAACAAAATATTACTATATAATATACGTTTTGATATATTTCTATTGTTTGAAGATTTTTGTTACTAAATTTAGTCAGCTACTGAACATCGATAAAATAAATATTTTAATCGATGGTTGGTAACAAAATATTACTACTATATAATATACGCTTTGATATATTTCTATTGTTTGAAGATTTTTAATCATTTTTAATCTAAATTTAATCAGCTACTGAATATTGAAATAAATGTTAATTAATGATTGGTAACAAAATATTACTATATAATGTACGCTTTGATATATTTCTATTGTTTGAAGATTTTACTAAATTTAATCAGCTACTGAATATTGAAATAAATGTTAATTAATGATTGGTAACAAAATATTACTATATAATGTACGCTTTCGTATATTTCTATTGTTTGGAGATTTTTTGCTAGTAATTTTTTTACCCCTAGATTTTAATGAACCGTATTATTAACATTACTAAACAATGCAGCTATATCATCATATCGCAATGAATATTTTATTTCCAATATTGTATATATTATATATATTTATTCGCGTATTATCATCGATGAAAATTAATTCACGCGTTATAAATATCTGTTATAATATCTGTGTATTTTATACATTTTTTTCAATTTTATTTTTATCACCAGTTTCATCCCACCAGTTCATTTTTTAAATTCCACAAAAGAATAAATAACATTTGGAAATGGCAACAACCGTAAACATTAAATAATTACCAATCCATGAGAAAAACAATATTTAGATGAATCGATCATTGCGAACTACCAATACTGCTATCAATTTTTATCCAAGCCTGGACATGGAGAGAGAAAAAGAGGCACAAAACGAAATGGGGAGAAAAAAAACGAGATAAAGAGAAATAAACGAAAGCGTAATTATTTTGATATATATATCGTTAATTAAAAAAAAAATAAAAAAAAAAAAAACAAAAAAGCAAAAAATTTCGTCACCCACCACCGATTTCAACTTCCCTTCGAATTTTCCGCGTCGCGAGTTAAATCGCTGCACACGATCGGCCGCACCGACTCGTCGCGTGCATTTGTGCAATAAACCAAAAACAATTGGCAGATTAGAATTCGCCAGATTCACGTGACCCTGGCACGTCGTCGAGCTCATTGATTTCAAGATCGGATCAGGTAAATAATGGACTGTTACTTTCACGCCTGACCACCCATAAACCATAAATTAACTCCATACACAGGAAATTGTTCTCGAGTCCCTTTTCGTTACGGTACTTGCCTCAAGGTAAACGTTATTTTTGGTACAACGGTGATGACAATTATTGTTATATCAAAATTGAGTGTGGCATGTGGCTCTTTTCCAAATCTTTTGAAAGATTCATGAAACGAAAAACGTTAATATAAACGAAAATTGATCTCGACTTCGTCCGTCGCAATAAGTTCTAATTCTAGCAAAGATTACTTTTGGTACAAAGATGATGGATCATTTATATGCGTTTCTTACATCGAAAAGTGCAATTGCTTCGCTTCGAATTTCGATGCTGAAGTAAAAATTGTCCATGTATCCTTGTATCAAAAATTCACAAAAATTTTCACAAATCTTGGAAATCTTTTCACAACACTGGAAAAGAGCAATTGCTTTACAATTGCCATTCGATTTTGATCCTTATATATATAAATAAAAGAATCTTTATTACTTTTATTTGTTGTTTTTCGTTATCTAAATAAAAGTTCGTGTCGAACGCTATGCATTGTCCAATAAGAAAAATAATTGTAGCTCTTGAAAACATTTCGATTGATTCGCATTTGATGCCTTTTTAAGATTAATTAAGATAAAATTTTTAAAATATTTTAATATTATCGTTTTCGTTATACATAAGTATTATTTTCACAATAAAATTTATTAAGAATAATTTATCTGAAGATTCAGATGAATGGAAGATGAATTGTATCGTGCGAAAGAAAAATATTTAAAAAAAAATTATCATCAATATCGAAAAAGATGGGGGGAAAAAAATATATCCATGCGTTTTTCAATATTTGCCTGATGAATACTTACTTCACGCACGCTTATTATAAATTTTAAATTCGTTTTGCAACGAAAGAAATAAGATTTAAACTAATAATTCTCGATAATTTTTAATACGATGAATTTTCTTCTTTTTTGTAAAAAAAAATGTCCCTTTTCGAACTCGCGCCAAAATTTTCCCCTCGATAAAAATCCTTTCATATGTACGCAAGCCTTTGGCAAATAACTCGATATTTGAGAATCGAAGCCGAAAGATTAAATTTCTCTCGTTGTTCCGATTTGAAAAAAAGGAAGGAAAAACTGGCACGAAAGGGGGCATCCCTATTTTTCACATTTTCTCAAAGTGAACAATTATTGCAAAAAGGGATAAAAAAAAAATATTTGGAATAAAAAGTATATCTACAAACACGCATGGTCAACATTTACGAGCATTACGAGAAATTCACGACTCGAGATTGCAGTTGTTGAAAAATTTTTTCTTACACTAAAAAAAGTAGAAAAAGAAGATACATGTACGCGCATAAGCCGCTTCGTTTTCCAAACAATTTGAAAAGCTGGATGTGCGTTCATCAAAACCTTCCAACGAATATTCTGGATTATTTTCCAATCGAGAAATATTCGGGCGGGAAAAATAGTGTTTAACAGTGAAGATGAAGAATAAAGTTCTCGAAAAAAAAGATAAAATTCTATTATCCGTTAAAATTCGAATTAAAAAAAAAAAAAAAAAAAGGAAAAATAACATCGTATATACAATCGTATAATTGAAAAAAATTCGACGACACTCACTTGAAGAAGTAAGTATCGTTGACGTAGCCGAAGAAGGGGACGGTGTAGGTCAACATCCAAATATTTCCACCCCCGCAATCGTAGTAAGGCTTCGACCATCTTCCATCCTCGTATCTCACCGTCAATATCTCGTCCTCCTCTCGTTCCGTGTGCGTGGTCTCGTTCAACGTGTACGTGTGAAAACCTGCGAAACCAAAGAATCAACCCCCTTTCTTAATTATTATTAACAATAATCGCTCTCAATTCTTATTAATTAAACTAGTTAGAACTAGTATCAATAACCGAAACGTCGTATCGATTAACTACACTACAGCCATCTATGCATACCACCAATGCATAACCGAATTAAATATCACGTGACGTTTCCACGTAATAAACGTTCTTATTCCACACTATTATGACATTTTATTCACGATAAAATTGTGTTCTTGCAGGGACCACGCTACAGAGGGAAAATTATAGGCGGAAGAATCGAAGGGAAATACAACGTGAGGCGCAAACACAGTCGAAAGTGTATATAAAAACAGGAGGAAATTGGACGGGAAGGCGGAAACGGATGCGAGTCCCTCGGGTTACGGAGGACATCTACCAGTTTCGAGCCACTCTGTATGTTATTCGACGAGAAGGGAACGTATCGGGAATTTGTCTTGGAGAATTGCGGGAATAAAAATCCTCGTGAATCGTGGAAACGATCGTTATTTATTCCGCCTCCATCATCGCCGCTTTATTCATCGTCCGAAGCCTGTTTCCATTTCCTCTTTAAATCTTGGAATATCTCGGGATGTGTCCTCTCTCAGGGAGGAGAACGAATGTGAGAACGTTCGAAAATATTATCTCGCGCGGAGGAGATTTAAATAAATTTTTTATTCGATCGAATGATAGCGATTTGATTTAAGAAATCTTCCTTGAAATCTACTCTAACGATTCTTCATCTGAGTGAAAATGTGAAAAATGTTACGCGAAGGATTGTCTGTTATTTTCAATGATCTGATTTAAAGTCGTGATGATTCATGAGAAGAAGTGAAAATTTGAAAATATTGTATTGCATCTTCTTCGTATTTCGTATACACGAGAGGATCGAACGTTTGAAATTTTATGCATCGATCGATCGCAAGGATTGAGATTCTTTCTGCGAATGATAGCGATTTGATTTAAAATCTGCTCTAAAGCGTCTTTTATCGATGATTCCCTCGCGGGAGGAAGGGATATCGGGATGAATGGGGCATTCGAAGTGGAAATCATTTCATAGAAATTTAAGAAAGAGACTTTCTGTCCGTTTCCGTATGAAAAGATTCGATCGACGAGGAATTTTATTGGGTCAACTATAACGATCGCGATCTGATTTAAAGTCTGCTCTACGCCGTCCTTTTATCGATTCTCTCGCGAGAGCAAAAAATAGTTCCGGCCGAGCGTTCCATATATTCGAAAATATCATTTCGTTGAGAATTAAAGAAAGGAATTTTTGTCGTAATATCCGACAAGATTCATGTCAGATGGAATTTTATCAAATCAATTTTTATTAAGGATGAATCGTTTTTTTTTTCTGTAATGATTTAATTTAAAATCTAAATTATTCTTTATTGATAATTTGCAAGCTTGGCTACAATAAGAGAGTTTCAAGAGTTTTAAGATAATTAAAGAAGAACGATTCATCACATTAAGAGGAAATAATCCAGCCATACTTTGAATAATATATATTCTTTTATTTACATTCTTCAAGATAAATAGAATTGAATTTGTAATTCTAATGAGAAATATAGTTGATGATGGAATTATGTTATGATAGAATTTAAAATTTAACATAAAACAATAGAACAATAGAACCATAGAATAATAAACCTTTAAGAATTCAAGACATAATACACACATTTATCAATATGCATCTAAAAACAATATCAAATATTTGTTCATCAAGTATTAATACTGTAGTAATATTGACACAGATTAGAGATAAGATATGATGTAGATATAGGTACATAGGTAACAATGTATATATACATAGTATGATTTCATAGTTAATATACAATATAAATATAGATACTTATATAGATATTAAACATTGATTAAATGTCCATCTTTATAAAAAAATCTTAAAATTTAAGAAATCTTGCCTAACGAGAATACATATTACAACAATTTGATATTAATGTATTATTTACATTAATATCACAATATCCTTAAACCTATTTTATTCATTTCAAGTTTTTTCAATATTCCAACAATGTTCAAAAGGAAATAACAATATTCTAACAATTCAAATTAACAAGTAATTAAGTATTTATTAAAAGATTCCTTTTCTAGAAATCTATTTTAATATCTAACAATATATCTAAAAAATTCTTCAAAGAGAAATTCATAGTTATCAAATATCATCCCTGATTAAAAAATCTCTTCAATAACAATCAGGATAGAGCATCTATTTTATTCATCTCTGATATTCATAACTTGATAATATTTAAAAAGAAATTCAGAATTACCATTCTTCAATCATTTTTCCACCTTGAATATTCCCAATATTCTAACAAATATTAAAAAAAAGAAAGATTTAAACCACGTTATATTAAGTCTCCTCTGCCTCATTATCGAGCACATTCTTCGAACCAAGAGCCAAATTACACCAAGAGTCTATAAGACATCTCACCCCACTACCATAAGGCCAACTGACAGTAAATTGTTACTCAATAAAGGTTAAAGTCGAAGAAGAAAGAGAAGCCAAGTTACATCCTCGCTCGCGGAGAGAAATGAGGGCGCAGGAGTCGGGCGGATATAGGGAAGCTGCAATAAAGCGCAGTGATCATAGTTAGCCTATGAGAGTGGGGAACGAGGATAGGTTAGGATGTGAAGTTATCGGCGGAGTAAAACGGGCCGAACGAATGAAGACAGTTCCGTCGATGTACCGGTGCAAATAACGTTTCTCGCATTCCCGGATATGGGGTGAACCCGATAAAGCCGGGGCAATTTCTTCTGGGACGGAAGCCCACGGCAAATAAGAACGTTATCGGGTGGACAGAGCAGGAAACGAAAGCGGCTAAGGAAACAACGGCCTCGACCAACCTTATTCCGTCATCTACCCTTCGTTCCTTTTTTGATCACCTCTTACGATTTTCCCTTTCCTCCCCCCCCTTCTTTTTCTTTTCCTTATCGACGTCAATCACGATTCCCTTTAATAATAGTTGGTTCGAACGTTCGAAGCAAGATGTAATTATTCGTTTCTGGATCATTTTTAAGTTTTTGTTTGAGATATTTTATTACTTTTTTTTTAAATAATTATTTCTGGATGTGATTTTAAGAAAAATTTGAAGTGAGTCCTTTTTCGTGGAATCATTAAATAATAATCATTTTAATTGTAATTTAACTAAACATTTAATCAAAGATCAATTAAATTTATCTTAGTTACTAATATTATTTATCTTATCAATCTATTAATACACAAATGTGTAATCAATATCTAATCGCACGCTAAAACGTGTCCAAGATCAAGTAGATATGTATATATATATATATGACATATGATCATACAGATTTGATCTTGACATATATGTATTTCAATTTAATTACTAATTTCTTAATATCATCATAAAAATAACATTATTTTTAATATTTATGATATATTAAGTAATATAATATACGGTATAAATATTTCGTGAAAAGGAACTGGCGCATTATTTTTTATCTTTCCTATACGAGTTATTATCCTCCGAGTGAAAAGGAAAAACGAGCACGACAAGCCGTCCCATTGTTTCCCATTCTCGAGAAATCCGAGAGACAGTTCAGAACTGTTAATTAATTCCTTCGTCGAAAATATCTCGCTCATTCTATAACATTTTTTAATATTTCTTCGTTGGAAAATAAATATCATGCCTCATAATTATCCAATTGAGGATGAGGCAAACGAAAGAAGCAAAGCGTTTTATATCGAAACGTATTCGTGTTCGGACGAAATAATCCGCGTAAACAAATATCTCCGTTCCGAAAACATCTCGAGCCACGTGTTATTTCACGATCGAGAAAAATCTATCGATCGAAGACACGTATTTAACGAAACAAAAATTGGGTCAACGTAACTCTAAACACGCGGATATCCCGATGAAAAACTTTATACACGGCTATTCGATACGAACTAGTTATTCATAAAACATAGAGTATATCCAGATGCTGCGGGTTGTCGTTAAATTGCAAATTTTCGAGTACACCAAAATACCTTGGGAGCGTTAAAACGGAACTATAACCATTGAAAATATACGTTGACCTAAAAATTCCTCTAGGGATACGCGACAGAGAGCGCCACTGTATAACGTTGTTCGTAGAGAGAGTCGCATCTTCGAGACGCAAATTACTAACGATTTCAACATATTCATAACAGTACAGTATAGTTTGGTATATGTATATACATAAGAGTAAGAAAACCGTGTTAATGCTGTTTCTACATTGAATTATTAATTTGAAACATCGTACGGATCGTAACATAACTTGGCAAGATTTACCAATTAACCTTAGCGTCCTTGTACCTATAATTTCTCTGCCTTGTACCATCAGCATAATTGACCATATAATATGTGAGAAACAACGGAATGTATGATTTTGCACTAGATGTATTAAGCTGGCTTAAGGTTAAGGTTAAGTTATTTTGCTTTGACTTTTAATAATTTAATTATTTGATAAATATATTAAAATACGATTGAGAAAGATTCTTAGATCCTAATTTGACACGATTGCTAATTAATTTATTCGATCCTTAATCATTAACGATTGCTTAATCGTATAAAAGAAGTACATTGTACATCAACGTTGCCAACAAACAAATGATCTTTCTTTATCCCTTCCATCTGATACCGTCACGTGATATGCTAGTAAAAAGAAAGAATTCCCTAGATTGCGTGAGACTAAACTCATATGAAAACAGAATACTTGAGTAAAATAGCAATAAATAATATATTTGACTAACTCGTAGTCAATTTGATTGTTCGTGCGTGTTACAGATTGAACGTTTTGCTCGATTAAGAGATATATATATTTATTTCAATGAAACGTGATCCAATCTACTAACCAATCTCTTAGACATCTTTATATTTAATTTTTGTTTAGTAGAAGGAAATCTTATTGAATTTTTATGAAGTACAAGATAAAAATTATTCGTTTTTTTATTGAATACAAGTAATTTATTCTCTCTATTTTCTCACAATT